TAAATTGTTAAATTATATACAATTGTTAAATCGCGTTCTTAAGAAAAAAAAAAAAAAAAAAAAACAAATTCAAAATGGAATGCAATTGACATGTCTTTTATCGTTTGATTTTTCGGTGTATGTATAATTGATTAGATAACAAATTGTTTATAATTATCCATTGGAAGACGAGATAACGCAGAAGGCACGTGTATTATTAATAATTATTTTATTAAATCGCGTTATTTCTTTTCTTTTCTTTTCTTTTTTTTTTTTTGTGTGAGAATGCGAATTAATTAATTCAACATTTGCATATAAAATAGAAATGTAGATTAATATAATATAATAATACAAAATCTGAGAATATATGTAAAAATACATAGAAATAATAAGATTTCAAGAACATATTTTTGTAATAATAATAATAACAATAATAATAATAATAATAATAATAATAACTTTTTAATTAAATATTATTCAATTAAATTGTAAATGAAAAGTATCGTCAAATATTTATTATTTATATATCTGTTTTTTAAAATACCAAAAAAAAAAAAAAAAAAAACAAGATGTGATCACAAAAACTTAAAGTCACAGTTTTAAAATCAGTCTATCGTTGTATATATAAATTACATTTACAATCTAAAAAATAGTATATAATTAAAAAAAAAAAGAAAGATGTAAGAAAAATAATTCGCATTCTCGATCGTCTCTCTCTCTCTCTCTCTCTTATTTTTTTTCATTTTTAAATATTATTGCTATAGTGTTCGTCGTCGTCGTCGTCGTCATCGTTGTCGTTTTCGTCGTCGTCGCTCTCTATGACAATGATGACGATAATAATCATGATGACAAATATTTTCGGTCATTCGTTCTCATTTTCATCGTTGAAATATAAAGAAACAATGGAATGTTTTTTACAAAATGCCCACCACCAACGATAACCTATTAGTCCATTAAACGTAAATGTAGGATCGCGTTTTCGTCTTAACATTTCGACAAAGTTTAATATCACGTTAAGGGATTTTTTCGTACGTCGATTGTAAGGACTAATGCTGATGTCGCAACAAAATTCAAGGACGGCCGTTTCCTCGCTCGAATTTAAACCAGCTTCCTCGAGTACCATCATCCTCTTCGATTTTCCAAGTATGTTGTCGTAGAGGGTGCCCTTAGGTATACCATATTTAGTTGATGCCTGTGTGAACCTCATCTTTTGGGTAACCACAGCCTCGATAGCTTCTTGAAGATCATGCCGAGTCCACGTTGGTGCCTTCAGCTTCAGCAGGCTCGTATATTCAGCTAAAAAATAGTCATGCCATTTTCCGACTACCTTTTTTTATTATCTTTAACTATTCTCTAGTCTGTCTCTCTCTCTCTCTCTCTCTCTCTCCCTCTCTCTTTTTATAATTTCCTATCACCATTGACAACATATCTGCCTTTGTTTTTTTTCTTTCTCTCTTACGAGAAAACAAAATTAAGAAGAAGAAGATGAATTAACAACGATAAACAACAATGATTGGCGACTCGTTTTCGTTGGCTAAAAGAATCATTCAAATTTATAATATTATAATTTTTTTTTTTTTAAGGATAATTAATAAGATGTCTTCACTCTTTTTCTAAAATCTAAGAGAAAGAGGAAGTTGATAAATTCAATTGGAGGAATAAATGGTTTCCTACGAAAAGGAGGTTTTAAAGAGAGGTTATTAATAATGAATAAAAACGCGAATATATCTGGTGATTTCAATGACCGCAATGACGAAGTTTTTCAATATTCTCGAGACGAGTTACGATGAGAGATAAATGAGAATATTAGTTTATTCTTTAAAGAATATTTTAATTGAACGACTCCATTTCTTTCTTTCGCAAAAWGTAGATAATAAATCTTAACGAAAGATAAATATTTGAGTAAAATTTAAACGAAGATGAAGAAGAAGAATCGAAAAAAAAAAAAAACAAAAAATAGGAACATTGTGGTAGTAAAGAAAAATACACGCACGTTTGATCAAATCACGATTGAAATGTATAATAGAAAGGGAAATAAAAATCAATGAAAAAATATGGGACCAACCAATGAAAGTTTCTTTTTTTTTTGAACTACGAAGAAGAAGAAGACGAAAGGTACATTTTTCCTAAGAAATAATATTCCTCGTTGTTGTCAAGGAGGGGGTGGGGGGCTGGGGGAGGGCTTTTCGAATTGATTTGAGTCGCGTAACGGAGAGAGTAGTTCGAAGTTTCCGCGTTAGTAGTCGTCGTTCTCGTTGTACTCGATTTACCGTGAAACTCGAAAAGGAAAACTAGCCAGTCAGCCAGTCAGCCAGCCAACAAACCAACCAACCAACCAACCAACCAACCCAGGGTCCCACGTGTACAAGCAAAACTCACGGTTACGTTTGCGAGCGTCACGAATTGTGAGAACGCGTTATCGCTGCTATTAAACCGATGCCCAGCGTCGTTTCGTCGTCTATCTAAATTGCTTTCTATATTAAAAGCAAAACGCATTCCACTCGCTTTATTATTGCCGGAGTAACGACACTTACTCCCCTTCTTTTCTCTCTCTTTCCACCGCCATTGCTAACCTTATGCATTTTCTTCCTTTATTTTTCTTTTTTTTTTCAAAAATAACCAAAAAACTTCGAGAACAGCACCTTTCTTTCTTTTTATTGCTACCCTTTTCTTTCCTTTCCCCCCTCTCTCATTTTTTTCTATTTTTATTTTTAACACGTTCCGTGCCAAGCCCTTTTTAACCTGACTTGTCATTCAGATCATTTAATTGTGCTTGAACAAAATCAACCACATTACACATGTAATTATTAATTATTGTAAATGTAACAATTAAACAAACTCATGTGTTTTGTTCTATTATTGCATTATCAATATATTAATAGGAATATTTTTAATTTGTTATAAACATATATTTTGAGTGCATTAAATAAATATGTTTAATGATAAGTGTACCACCAGTGGTACACGTGGCAAGGAACGTGTTATAATTAGTGTGATAAAAATAATTTTAGATTTTTTTTGTAAATTGTTCAAATTATTATTATTATTTACACGGTAAATCAAACGGTAGAAAAGTCAAAACAAAACAAAACAAAACCAAACCAAAACAAAACAAAACAAAAAATAAACAGAAAGAAGAGAAAGGAAATGAAATTAATTTGGCGAGCAACAATATGTTTTCCTGGAATTATTATTATTATAATTAATATGTTTACGGATGTTGGAGATTGGGGGATGTAGGTGAATTAATTAGACGTAGTTGACTCTGTGAGACATTCGGTAAGAAACTCACCTGCTAAACTGGAGGTGGAGGCACCACTGCCGAGCCAAGCGTGGGAGGATTCCAACAACTTGGCCTGAAACAAAGAAACAAAAAAATCCAAGTCATGAGTTTGTCCATCATTTTTCGTTTATATTCAAATCTTATTATTATATTATTGAGTATCATTTGTCGCATATGTAAATTGGGTTATTATAAACTAAACGGTGATCATTTGAATCATTTCGTTCAAAATAATTTCATCAAAATATTTCCTTCTTCCGAGTGAAGAAATAAAAAGCGGATATTCGAGTAAACGTCTATTAATTCTTAAGATTCCATTATAAATACCCCATCCCTTTCTTTTTTCTTATTCTCAAGCAAACAACAACCACGAAAATTTTTATCTCAACTTACACAAAAATATAACGGGAAATAATAATAAACGAAAAAAAAAAAAAACAAAAACAAAAACAAATTGAACCTACTCGAAAGGAAAGGAAAGGAAAGGAAAGGAAAGAAAAGAAAGGTGTGTGTATATATATTTATCCACACTTTATATAAAAGCTTCATAACGAATGAAAATAAACCGAAGAATATAAAGTTAAATAAAAGTCTACCCTTACTCCTAAGTATTACTCCCTGGTACAATGAAAAGTAACGAAGATAAGAAGAAGAAGAAGAAGAAGAAGAAGAAGAAGGAGGAAAATTTGAGAGAAAAGGTTCTATGAAACGAATAAGGATAGTCTAATACTAATAACCATCCTTATTCCCTTCTTTTAAGCTAAGAATCGCGAGATTTTATCTCTCAGTTTGACCAGAAGCAAGAAAGCAAAGCAAAGCAAAGCAAAGCAAAGCAAAGTAAGCAAGTAAGTAAGCAAGCAAGCTACCTAGCTAGAACAAATTTTGGCGTCGATATCGTGAAAAGTAGAAGGAAGAAGTAGAAGAAGTAGTAGAAAAGGAATGGTTTGGAGAATCAGAATAGAAAGAGAAAGAAGAAGGAAGGAAGGAAGGGGGTGGAGATAGGGAAGAACAGAAAAGGAGGTGGAGGTTCTGCGCGCCTCCGCCGACAACTTTGCTAATATGTGAGGCTTTCTGGGCTTTTCCATGAAAAGGGGGTTGCGAGACGCAAGCGTCGAAAGCGCAAGACACACGCAAAGTTGCTTCATTTCGAAAGTTTCCCTCCGTACTCTCGCGGCGGTTTCGCGATTTCTGCAATAGGATTTCTCTTGCCCCCACCTCCTATACACTTTCTCTACCTTCTCTTTATATCTCCCCGGCGCTGCTCACAGTTGCATCAGTGGTCGTCGCGAAAAAAAGGGAGGGACTAACCACCTCATATATCCAAAAGCGTTTTTCAGGAGGAGTCCACTCGCACCCGACTTTTCAAATTAATTTTTAAGGGTTTCATCATCGACGCCGCTACTGCTACTGTTGTTCGCATTTTTCAGTGGTTTGATATAAACCACCACCATTACTACTACCATTGGTTAGCTCAGCCAGTCAGTGCACAGCAATTCAACGCCAATCGTTCCTTTCTTCTTCTTCTTCTTCTTCTTTTACTCATTTTTTTTTCCTACTCTTCTTTTTCCATCATTGGGCTATCACCGTTTACTATATATAGCTATCGTTGCTTAGCTTTCTCCCTTTCTCTCTATTTCTATCTGTTTTCCTCAGAGAGAGAGATGGAGGAGAGAGGGAGATAAACGTGCAAGCAAGCAACGCGAAGCAGCTTCGGACCCACTCGAAGAAAAAGTTCTGTTGATCCACGAGTTTGTTGGGCCAACTAAAGGCTTTTTGTTTAAAACCGGCGAACCGGAGCGGAAATTTTTTCACCAAACTCTCTCTCTCTCTCTCTCTCAACCCCCTCCCCTCCCCTCATCACTATTTCTATCTCTATCTCTATCTATCATTTCCTTTCTTTTTCTCTATCTCTATCTGGAGTGCACTTGCCTCGGTTCAGTAAAATAAACCCCCTACCTATTTGTCTCGAAGGAGACTTGGAGTGGGGAAAAAGGGAATAACAAGAAGAAGAGGGTTTATAATACCTATAGATAGATAGGTAGATAGATCGAAGAATATGGATGAACTAAGGAGAGAAGGGGATGAGATATAAAAAAAGAAACTATTTCTCCCTTGAATAATTTAATTAATCGTGCGCGTAGCAAATTATTTTGCAAACAATGGACACCTTTTTTATTTATACTTGCAAACGTTGGGATTTTATATTATATTATATTTTTTTATTATAAATAATAATACGTTTATACTTATTATTACAAAAATAATCATAATAAGATACTTATCGAAAGAAAGTAACCAATACGGATAGAATAAAAAAAAAGTATCGTAGAGAAGGAGTAACTAAACGTATATTTCATAAATGCATGCATGCATATGCAATTCAAAGGTAACCGCGATTCTTCGCAAAGAGAGTATCTATCTCTTTCTCTCTTAGGTAAAATCGAGGGATGAGCGTAATTTCGAGAAACGACCACTACCGACGACGGCTGCACGCATCTCGAGTTAAACCACACAAAGAATTATCGAACAGACCGTAGCCGTTTCTGGCAACTGCATGTCGAAATGAAAGAGAGAGAGAGAGTGAGAGAGAGAGAGAGAGAGAGAGAGAGAGAAAGTGAACATCAGTGCAGTCGTAGTTCGGACGTGCAAGCCAGTAGTATATCGTGTCGCGTGCATTTTTCATTGTCTCGTGTCCCTGTGACGGTGCAGTCGAGAAATAGAAAAAGAAGGGTGGGATAGAAAGAGAGAAAGAGAAAGAATAACGTCGAAGAACGTACGACGTGCAGTCTGACGTGTGCATTGACGAGAAAATTGCAAGGGAGCTCGTGCACACACTCTTTCCTCCTCTCTCTTTCTCTTTCTCTTTCTCTATCGTCTTCTTCTTTTTCCCAGAATAATCGACCTCGTATATTATTTTCGGTTCTATGTCTTTTTCCTCATAGAGAGAAAGAAAAAGAAAGAAAGAAAGAGAGTGTTTGCTAGCATACCAAATTTCACTTTATTCCAACAATGCTCGATACTTCTCTGATTTAAGAGATTTAACCCGTTAGAGAGTGCTATGGACGTATATATGCGTTTAGTAAAAATTACTAACCTTATCGCGATTCGAAGCATATTTATTATTATTATTATTATTATTATTAGTTGGCATTAGCAACTTGAAAGTTCATTGCTGCAAATACCAAATCCCCTCCTCTCCATTGTTGTTTATATTAATTAATTAAATTATATTCACAAAGAAAAACTTTAATTATAAAATATAATTTATTATTATAATCTAGTTAATAATAAATTATTCCGTTTTCTACAAAAGATTTTACTTAAAAGTATTCAACACTCAAAAAGGGTTAAGAGATAAAGTTATATTCTTATTGTTAGTTTTTTTTTGAGAAAAATAATTCGAATAATTTATAAGATACTCGAATTCATTTGTACATTTAATGACATATTGATGAATGAATCAAAAGAAAAAGTAAGAAAATCAATGAAAAAAAAATATGATCGAAGAAAAAGTTGAAAAGAATTCGCGTTGACGCGTCAGGGTTGCGTCAGGGTTGTAGAAAAAAAAAAAAGGGTGGCGACTTTGGGACGATGAACGCCAGCAATGACGGTGTAACGTGGGCACACGACTATGTGCCATCAGCCTGCTTTCTGTATGATGCATGCCGCTAATGGAAATGAGGCCTCCGAGCTTGCATATATCCCTTCTCTCTCTCTCTCTCTCTCTCTCTCTTTCTTCCAACCCTCTCCCGTCCTTCTCTTCATCCTCTTCTTTCAACTAACTCACTCTTTCTTTCTTTCTTTCTTTCTTTCTTGCTTTCTTTAGTTTTTCTTTTTTTACTCCGACGTAAACGTCAAGCATAGTTTGCTCCTCTCATCGCTACTTCTTTTCCTCTCGCTTTCTTTCTCAGAGACTCGGCCTCGAGAAAACAGAGGAGGAGAAGGCATCCGTCGTACACGCTTGCTTGGTCGAAGAGGGTTCCTGAATTAAATATGGCCAAGCCAAGAGAAAGAGAAAGAGAGAGAGAGGGAGAGAGAGAAAGATACGTGTCTTCTATACGGAAAAGAGAAAGATTTTCCTCTCACTTTGATACTTCCATCGTTCTCTCTTTCTATTTTCCTTTTTTCTTTCTTTATTTCTCACTCTCTTATTTTCTTTATATACATACTTCTTCCTTATTTTTCCCTCTCGTGCTCTCATATACCCATCCATCTTCTTCCTCTCATATGCTTTTACACCTGTTAATCGTCCTATATGTCACCGAATATTTTTCTTCCTTTTTTTTTTGTTTGTTTTTTTTTTTCTAGTTCTTTTCTAAGATTGTTTTCTTTTACAAGTTCTGCGTTGTTATATTCATAGGATTCTGTTTCTTTTCTTTTTCTTTTCTTTTTATAAATATCGAATACATGTGTATTTAATATTAACCCATTAATTGCTAAATTATTTTTGTTTTTTTTTTGTTTCAGAAATATTTATATTTTTTAAAAAGTCTTAAATGGGGATTGTGGCTGATTGCACGAAAAAAACTTATAATAAGAGACTATTACTTATTTCTTTTATTATTATCTTATACATAAAACATAGCTATTATTATGCCATTTTTTTTTTATACAGTCCACATAAAACCGAGTGGTGTACGTAAAATTCCAAAATCATCAAATGGGGATTGTGGCAGTTAATGAGTTAAAAAGAGATTTAACGTCTTTTTAATATTAAATATATATATATATATATATATATATATATATATATATATGTATTCAATATTTTTCAATATTTTGTGTTCTACTAGGATAAATATTAAAAAGAAAGGAAAAGAATTTATCGAATGATTTTTAGATTGATTGTCAAGGATTTTAGTAGGTGATGATAGTTGAAGTAAAAGTAATAGTAGTCGTTGTCGTCGTCGTCGTCGTCGTACTGGGGCTAATTCCTGCAAATATTTGCCGGGCAAGGATATAGGTGGGGGTTGGGGGGTGAACTACTGCTGCTGCTTCTGCTTCTGCTGCTGCTGCTGCTTTAGCTTTAGCTTTTGCGAGAAAGAGTAAGAGAGTGAGAAAGTGAAAGAGGAA